GCCGAATCCGCATTGCATCGTGTGTCGGGGTCGTACAGCCAACGGCCTCGAAGTAAATTTCGAGAGTCGCAATGAATCGACGAGCGTCAGCGTCTCTCGCATTCGGATTGAACGCCTCCGGTAGCCTCGGACGTGCCGCCTCAAGATTCACTGTAGCTGCTGCCGCTGCTGCTGGGTGAAGTGTCGGTGTCGCCGCTGCTGCTGCTGACGTCGCTGCTGCATTCGCCGCTGCGTTCGCTGCTGCTGTGGCGGCTACCGACTGGTTCGCGAGAAGCGCCTCTATTTGCTGGAGTGCCGCTCGCGTCTGGTCCAAGCCGGTGTGTAACTCCGTAATTTTTCGTACAGAATTTTCACCGTTTTCCTCCATTTGGCGATTTACAGGAAGATTTGCGACAAAAATATATGAATTTTAGGCGCTGGTCATCTTACTGTGAGTCGAGTTGACTGCAGAAATGACGAGGGCTGATTCTGTAGGTCGCGTTATTCTCCCTTAGTCGAAATTCGCGTCTGATCTCGGCCGTTGAGAAGAAATTCGATCCGACGCTCCAAATTCCAACTGTTTTGAGCGAAATTCTCAGGGCCGTTGAGATTCGAATCGATCTGACGGTCGAAATTCCAACTTTTTCGCCACTGGACCTGAGGAGTGATCGAAAACCGGTTCGAGGGGGACGTTAGAAAATAGCGCGGAACTGGTTTGCGTACCCGAAATCGGCGCTTTCCGTCGTCGCCCCCGCGGTTTTAAAAGCTAGGTTTTAGCGGTCGAAAAACTTCGCGTCTAAACAGGCTCTAATTACCAAGTGTGAGGATCTAGGATCGAGCTCAGAAAAGAGAATTGTAATTGAATTGAATTGAATGATCACCTGGGTACAACACGAGGCTATATATAGGCTCGACACAAGGCCCCGTAACCAGGTGTTACGCGAAGGTTCCGCGGGTCGCGAAGCGTCCCGAACAGATCCTTCCCGAATTCGGTAGAAGGCAATTCGGTGGCAACCGAAAAGCCAGAATTCGGTGCACGCAACCTAGCTCGGTGCTATAACTATAATAAAATATAGGAAAGCACCTAGCCTAGGAAATCAAGCAATTCATGCATGCATATAATTATCCTATGCTAGAAATAGCATGATAAAGTAAAAGCAAGCAAGCATAGCTGGCATAGGTCGTCGTACTCTCACACCATCTGTGCCTTTAATTTCGCCAGCTCCCTTTCCAGCTGCAGCTCTCTCGCGGACTTCTCTTTCTCCTTCTCTCCTCGGCTGTAACACCTTTCTTTCGTGTGTCCCTTCTTGCCGCAGTTGGTGCAGGTGGGAGCCTTGGGGCAGTCTCGCCTGAAGTGCCCCTCCACGCCACAGGTGTCGCATAAAATGCCCACTGTGCAGTCCTTCCGTATATGCCCCTTTTCCCCACACTTATGGCACCGCCTTGAGTCTTCCCAGGGCTTCTCTCTTCGTTCTTCCTCCCCCCTCCTTCCTTCAGCTGCTGCCCAGGCTGGTCTCCTTCGCTCGTTTGATCGGCTGGAGCTTGCTCCTCTCAAGCCTTCAAAGAACCTCCGCCCTTCCTCCACTTCTTTCGCCACTTGATACACCTGCCTGAGTCTCGCCTTCATCCCCAAAGTGTACAGACGTGTTTTCATTTCATTCATCAGCTCCTCCTCCAACCCCCCCAGGAATTTCGTCACCAAGGTACGCTCCTCAACGCAGCCCATGTCCTCAGCCAGCTCCAGCAGCCGGTTGTAGTATGCCAGCAGCGACTCTGCCCGTCCTCTTTTAAAGTCTTGGAACTCTATCATACGCTCAGCTGAGTGCTCGGGGAACTGCTCACGCAGCGTGTCCAAAAATCGGTCAGTGATCTCTCCCTGCGCAAAGTCCCCATTCTTACACTGCATCAGCAGCCCCTGACGCTCCACTCTGTAGTGTGTCAGTGCCTCCCCTTTCAGTGTCCTTCCCAATCCTCTGAAAAATTCTATCGGATCTAACCCCTCTCTCTCCCAGGTGTACCGTATATCATCAATCATCATAAGGTAGTTCTTCAGTGTTGGCTCTTCACCTGGTGCCCCTGAGAAGCGGTCTGGTATCTCGATCTTCAGGGGCGCCGTGTTCATAGACCTCCCTGTCCCCCAGCTTGCGGCTTCCCTCTCTCTGCTTCCTGCAGGCCAACCCCCTTGCTCGGGCCCCCTGGTGGTACTGCGCCCTCCGGATAGACCACGGAAATTCTCCTCTCTGAAGTTCTGCTCTGCTTCCCGTCTGTGCGCCTCACCACGCTCAGGCGTCCCTTGCTGCGATCCTTGCTGCCCAGATCTCGCCTCGCTCTGTCGTCCTGGCGAGTTGTGCACCGAGCTGGGCAATTTCTCCTGACGATTCCCACCCTCCTTCGGCAGATCAGGGCCCTTTCCTCCCTGCGTTTCATTAACTCCTCCATCTGCACGGAATCCAGGCTTCAGAGGCGGCTCTTCCCGACCTTCCATAGTCCTAGCGGGATACCTCTGTCCCGACCGCAACTGATGGATGTGTAGATCTGGATCCGTATCGCTCATGCCTCACGGCCCTGACGCCGTGGCTAACACCGGGCCTCTGCGCCCGTACGCTTCTCTACCGCTACCTTTTTGCTTGTTTGCAACAAGTCTAAATCCTCCCTCGCAAGGGCTCCGTCAGTTTGCTGTTAGCTTCTCCTAGCTGCTTGCCTCCTTGGTTGGGAAACGAATTGCAGTATTACGAGAAACAAACAAGCAAAAAGCACGGAGCAGGTATCCTCCCCTGCCTAAGTCCCAGCCATCCTTCTGCCTAGGTTGCTTGTCCCACAAGCTAACTCTAGTTGCCAAGTCGCATAGCAGCAGTGCTGCTCGCGATAGCTTCTAGGTGCTAGCTGGGTCCCAGTGGCCCACTAGGCATGCACCAACTTCCAGCTGGAATTGCATTCTCTGAATCGAATTCCTAGCCTGGAACCGAATTCCCAGCCTGGAATCGAATTCCCAGCCTAGAATCGAATTCCCAGCCTGGAATCGAATTCCACCCTGTCCCCACCAAATTCCTCGAGCTTCTCCACCCTGCTCGGCTCCATATATGTACAGTACATTCCAAGCACACAAACGAAAGTATGAGTACAAGAACCAAACAGCAATATAGTACAACCTCACCTTAAGCTGCTGTGCAATTCACACTTAGCCGCAGGCTATGTGTTAATAGCGCGACACGTGCCTCCCGCACTGCTGCCGACCTGACCTCCACCGGCGTTGATGCCCACGTCGACGCCGCCGTCGTTGTTCACCGGTCGAGGAGAGGCAGGCCGAGAAGGGGGGTGCTCCGCCGCCCACATGGAGCGGAGTCCTGCCTCGACGACTGCCCAGGGTATCGCCCCGTACTCCTGGGCCTCATGGCGTCTCCTCGCATCATCCAGCTGTGCCTCCAGGGTGTCCATCACCTCGGCGTCACCTACGCGCACGCTAGTGACTGCACGGCTGCCGGCCTACGAACACGGTTGGTGCAAAGTCGGCTAGACTGAACTTCGTCGCGGTGTCTCCACGCTCACCGCACCATGCGGAGATAACTGCTGCAACGGGAGCTAGGCTACAGGCTAGGCACGGGTGCTCGTGTGATCTCTGCGTTCGTTCACTTAGTCGTTTCCTTGTGTTCACGCTGCTTGCTAGTTCACGGGGAGAATTGGCAAGAGTTTCACTAGGAAAACATGACAACAATGATTGGAACAACATTGGCAACACTGACTACATCAGAGCTAGCTAGGCTGCTGGTCGACGTCCAGCGCATGGTCGACCGCGCTCCAGCACAGCAGCGCTCGCACCGCTCCAGCGTTGCAGAATAGCGGTGCGCCAACGTTGCAAGTCCATGGTGTGCCAACGCTGCAGCAAGTCGGCTGCACAGCGTTGCACCCGCAGGACAACGGTGCACCTGCTTCGCAGGTGCGCGCAGCTGGTTGGTGCGCACTTCCCTGTCACGTGCACAGCGCAGGCGCCTGGCAGACTCCACGCCAGCGACTGCGCCCACCAGCCATGTCGACCTCGGGATACCACCCCCGAGGTCGGCCTCGCAGACTCCACCCTGGCGACACTCGCGCACGTCGCCCGGGTATCCCGGTCGACCCAGCAACCACGCCTGGTCAACCAGCACAGTCCGCAGCCGGCCACCAATGCCTGGCGTCCCCAGTCCGCCATCCAGGCGCCCAGGACACCTTCCGAACCCCCAGGTCGGCGTCCAGACGCCCAAGACGCCGAGCAGACCTCCAGAGCGGCGTCCAGCCTCACAGGACGCTGACCAGACGCCCAGGTCGGTGTCCGGGCCCCCCAGGACGCCCAGGTCGGCGTCCGGGCCCCCAGGACGCCGTGCAGACGCCTAGGTCGGCGTCTGGCCTTCCAGGACGCCGTGCAGGCGCCCACGGCGTCGACCAGGCGCCCGGGTAGCCGTGGCGACGCCCAGCTCGGCGTCCAGCTTCCTAGGACGCCGTCCAGGCGTCCAGGACGCCAACCAGGCGTCCAGGACGGCGTCCTCCTGCTCGGCGCCCTTGCAGTGGCCCCTGTGCCCACTTCTGCACGTCGGTTGCAACCCCCGCACATCCGACCACAAGGTTGGCTCCGCCCAAGCGAGGACGGGGCCTAACAACACTCCCGTTGACACCCATCCCATCCCATCTCATCCCATCCCATCCCATCCCATCCCATCCTATCCCGTCCCGTCCCGTCCCGTCCCGTCCCGTCCCGCCCCGCCCCGCCCCGCCCCGCCCCGCCCCGCCCCGCCCCGCCCCGCCCCGCCCCGCCCCGCCCCGCCCCGCCCCGCCCCGCCCCGCCCCGCCCCGCCCCGCCCCGCCCCGCCCCGCCCCGCCCCGCCCCGCCCCGCCCCGTCCCGTCCCCTCCCCTCCCCTCCCATCCCAACCCCCTATCAAGATGTCGCTTGTGCTTCTACTAGTCCCATCATAAGGCATACTCCTCCCTTCTCGTTTTCTCTCTCCTCCATGCATCTCCATCCCACCGTCCGCTCCCCCCCTCTCCCCAGGGACCTCTCATACAACGAGTTTGAAAGTGCAGTTCCATGGCACGTCACACTGATGTCACGCTTAGAACATCTGTAAGCTCATGATGCATCTTGTTCTAGGCAAAAAAAAAAAAAAAAAAAAAAAAAACTTATAAAAGCTCACAGTTCATGACTCATGAGCCTCTATAGCATCTATAAGAACCCTGCTCCCATGCTTCCCCATCCCCCTTCCCCATTCTCCGTTTTTCCCTTTCTGACCCCATCCATCCCATGCATCCCCTCCTCCCTCTTCGTGTTTCCTGCTAGTGATGGCCCTTTCCTTGAACCCTCGAAAGGCCAACTGCGGTCAGAAACCTTACTTCTCGCTCTTTTCCATGTTCTTGTAGCACTCGCATGCGAGCCATGGTTTCTCTTCGCATGGGCACTCGCACGCACCGTGCTTTTAGGGTGATGTGCCGCTGAAGCTCCCAATGCACCTTGTCACTACTGCTCTCTTTTTGCGTTTTGCATCGCATCCCATTCCATCCCATCCCATCCCATCCCATCCCATCCCATCCCATCCCATCCCATCCCATCCCATCCCATATTTCTCAGCTCAGCCTCAGTTGGTGAAACCACAGCACTCTGAAGCAGCCTTCAAGCCTCTCCCTGGCTCTATTTCTCTTAGTCTTTCTCTTTCTGTCCCTCTCTCCCTCTCCCCTCCCGTCCTCCCTCCCTCCTCGCAGTGACCTCAGAGGCAACACAATTGTGGTGCCCCTACCTGACGCCATCTCAAACCTGCAATCTCTCTCATTCCTGTCAGTATCGCCCCCGTCACCTCACGCGGACCACAGTTAGCATCGCCCATCACACAGTTAGCGTCCGCCCATAGCACTTTCAACATTGCCGAGCATCTTTGTTGGGCATAAAAATAACCTCGACCCGAATGAAATTCGAGTCGAAGCGAACAGGGGTTCGACCCTGCACCAAACTATTGCTCAATTCTACCTAATACCGTGTCACCCCTTACCATTTCATCCCATACCATGTCACCCCCTACCTTGTTACCCCCTACATGGCATCCTGTATGATGTTCTGTCCTGTTTCTGCCATGCCCTGCCATGCGCTCAGAGGGCTGAGCAACAGCACAGTTGAGGACTTGCCTCTCGTTCTCTCCTTTACAGGCCTCAAGCACTTGTCAGTCCATGCCATGCCATGCCGCCATGCCATGCCATACCATGTAATATCATGCCATGTCATACCACACTAACATGCCATACACAGTGATGTGTCATGCCATGCAACGCCATGCTGTACCATGCCATAACTGGATTTTCACCCAAGTCCGTGTCATGCCATGCCATGCCTCACCATACCATGCCATCGTCCCATGCAGTCCCACACCTCACAATACCCCATACAACGTCACGCCAGCCCTTGCCAGCAGTGCTGCACCTCGTCCGTGCACCCATGCTTCTTTTTCCCCATTCACCCAGTGTCAACCGACTTCCTCACCACTGTCCTGATGCAGTTGCTTCGCCACACCCACAGCCACACCAGCCGCCACACACACACCCACACACACATGCGAGCAACCACGCATGCATGCGCATACGCACACACGCGTGCGTGCGCGAACACACACACATGCGTGCACGCGAACACTCACACATGCGAGCGCGAACACACACACACACACACATACACTCACACACGCACATACACACACACACACACATATACTCACACACGCACATACACACACACAAACGCACACACGCACACGCACACACACACACATACACACGCACACACACACACACACATATACTCACACACGCACACATACACACACACACACACACGCACACACCTTTTCGTCCATGCCTTGGCATGCGTTGCATTGCATCGCGTGTTGCATTGCATCGCGTGTTGCGTTGCATCCCCTCTTGGTTCCTCCAGGTCGCTGGGTGGCTCCGGCATCACATCGCTGCCCAGCCAGCTCTGCCTACTCACTGGCCTCACCTCACTGTACACACCCTCCTCCCCCCCTTGGCGCCGCTCTGAATCCTCTCTCCTCTCCTCTCCTCTCCTCTCCTCTCCTCTCCTCTCCTCTCCTCTCCTCTCCTCTCCTCTCCTCTGCTCTGCTCTGCTCTGCTCTGATCTGCTCTGTGTTAGAATTACGCTGTCAACACATTTGTGTACTCTATTTTTAATCGTGTAGGTTGTTTGTAGGTTGGGTGTAGATTTGTTATCTCAACCTTGTCTTGTCTGGTTGGGATTCCCAACCCATCCATTCCCTTTGCCTTCCCCACCCCAACTCTGTTTGTACTTAAGGCCTAGTGCCTTATATTCTAATCAATCAGTTCAAGCTCCATTTCTATCGCTCTGCTCTCCTCTGCTCTGATTTGCTCTCCTCTGCTCTGATTTGCTCTCCTCTCCTCTCCTCTCCTCTCCTCTCCTCTCCTCTCCTCTCCTCTCCTCTCCTCTCCTCGCCTCCCCTCTCCTCTCCTCTCCTCTCCTCTCCTCTCCTCTCCTTTCCTGACCCTGTGTACTTACGAAACGGCTCACCCCTCGCCCCTCTCCGCACCACAAGATCTCATCTCACCTCATCGCATCTCATCTCATATCATCTCATCTCATCTCATCTCATCTCATCTCATCTCATCTCATCTCATCTCATCTCATTTCATCTCCCCTCCCTTGCGTGGCAGGAACGCCTCTGGCATTGGTCTCACCGGCCCATTTCCGCCTTCTGTCCTCAACCTCCCTAGCCTTGTTTACCTGTTAGTCCTGTGCTTTGCTTAGAAGGAAAGTCTGGGATAAGGGAGCGAGGGGCTGTAGTGAGGCGAGCAGGAGCGGAGGTTAATAAGGGCGCCAGGGAGTTGACTTACTTAGCAGCTGATGCTTGCTAGATTGCAGTGGGAGGAGAGAGGGAGAAAGGGGGGGATGATGGTTTTGGCTTGTTCTTGTTGCCCATCTGCTCCCCATCCTCGCTTTTCTATTATGGTCAAGAAAATATCAGGCAGGCAGCGCTTTGCTGTTGCACTGTGCTGCGCTTTGCTGTTGCACTTTCCCTGCCGCTCTGTGCCCTGACTGCCATGTGCTTTGGATTACCGTGTGCCGTTACATCTACGCCCTACCATCACTGCACTGAGAATATTCATCCCTGTCCATTATTCAACTCTGCCTTCTTTCACCTCTCTCCTAATCTCCTCATTCTCTCACTCTCCCTCGGTCACTCCTCACTCGACTTCCCAGTGTCTTTCTTAACACGTCTCAGAACCCAGTCCGTCTCTTCGTTTCATTCTCATCTTCATCCACTCGTCTCTCATCCCTCCACATCCCGCTTGCCTCTCCCTCTCCTCGTTTCACATCCCTTTTCTTGTTTCCACATCCTGCTTTCCTCCCTCTCGTCCATCCTCCTCTCCCTCCCCCCTTCTTCCTTTGCCCACTGGCTGGCCTCAGCAACTTGTCGAACAACTACATAAGTGGCAGCATACCGGATAAGCTAACCTCTTTTCTCAATCTCGAAGCACTGTAAGCTGTGCACGCCTGTTGAGTCAGCATTGAGGAACAGATTCTAGGGAGAATATATGTGCCAGACAAATGCTGCGCTAGAGCATGAGTGTTCAGCTGCCTGTACAGAACAAGTGCGTGTGATAGGTGTGGGTGTGGGTGGGCACGCACGTGTGTTTCTGCATGCGTGCGTGCGTGCGGGCGGGGGGGCAGGGGGGTGTTCTGGTGAGTGCAACTGTAAGTATGGGTGTGCAAGTGTAACTGTGTGGGTGGGGTTGAGGGTGTGTGTGCGTTCATGCCAGCAGATTGGTACTTGATCCAACTGTAGGACCTGCATCACAGTGTAAGCTCCTCTTTGCGTCAACAACTCACAGCTCTCTTAAGTCCAGGTGCACCTGTCTTTCAACCCCCCTGCCTCTCTGCTCCTGTCTATTCTTCACATAGCCTCCCCTCCCTTGCCCCTCCCTCCCCCACCCATCCCCCTCCCTGCCACGCCCATGGGCTGGGCTGCTGCAACCATGATCAGGAGCCTCGAGAGCAACAGGCTTCAAGGCGATGTTCCAGGGAAGCTCCTCACGCTGCCCGTGCTCAAGACACTGTACGCTACGCCGCGCTCGCGCTGCTCCACTGCACTCTCTTCTCTGTTTCAATCAGGCGCCGCGGGTGCGGCACTCTGCTTCGCCTGGTTTTATTACTCCAATGAGCCTGCCTTCGTCTTGGCTTGGCCCTTCTGTTCCATTCTTGCTACGTGATAGTAAAGTTCGTTTGTGTCGTGCTGCATGTTCGTTTGTGTCGTGCTGCGTGTTCTTTTGTGTCGTGCTGCATGTTTGTTTGTGTCGTGCTGCATGTTTGTTTGTGTCGTGCTGCATGTTTGTATGTGTCGTGCTGCATGTTCGTTTGTGTCGTGCTGCATGACTGTTTGTGTCGTGCTGCATGTTTGTTTGTGTCGTGCTGCATGCTCGTTTGTGTCATGCTGCATGTTTGTTTGTGTCGTGCTGCATGTCTGTTTGTGTCGTGCTGCATGTCTGTTTGTGTCGTGCTGTATGTCTGTTTGTGTCGTGCTGCATGTCTGTTTGTGTCGTGCTGCATGTCTGTTTGTGTCGTGCTGCATGTCTGTTTGTGTCGTGCTGCATGTCTGTTTGTGTCGTGCTGCATGTCTGTTTGTGTCGTGCTGCATGTCTGTTTGTGTCGTGCTGCATGTCTGTTTGTGTCGTGCCGCATGTCTGTTTGTGTCGTGCTGCATGTCTGTTTGTGTCGTGCTGCATGTTTGTTTGTGTCGTGCTGCATGTTTGTTTGTGTCGTGCTGCATGTTTGTTTGTGTCGTGCTGCATGTTTGTATGTGTCGTGCTGCATGTTCGTTTGTGTCGTGCTGCATGACTGTTTGTGTCGTGCTGCATGTTTGTTTGTGTCGTGCTGCATGCTCGTTTGTGTCATGCTGCATGTTTGTTTGTGTCGTGCTGCATGTCTGTTTGTGTCGTGCTGCATGTCTGTTTGTGTCGTGCTGCATGTCTGTTTGTGTCGTGCTGTATGTCTGTTTGTGTCGTGCTGCATGTCTGTTTGTGTCGTGCTGCATGTCTGTTTGTGTCGTGCTGCATGTCTGTTTGTGTCGTGCTGCATGTCTGTTTGTGTCGTGCTGCATGTCTGTTTGTGTCGTGCTGCATGTCTGTTTGTGTCGTGCCGCATGTCTGTTTGTGTCGTGCTGCATGTCTGTTTGTGTCGTGCTGCATGTTTGTTTGTGTCGTGCTGCATGTTTGTTTGTGTCGTGCTGCATGTTTGTTTGTGTCGTGCTGCATGTTTGTATGTGTCGTGCTGCATGTTCGTTTGTGTCGTGCTGCATGACTGTTTGTGTCGTGCTGCATGTTTGTTTGTGTCGTGCTGCATGCTCGTTTGTGTCATGCTGCATGTTTGTTTGTGTCGTGCTGCATGTCTGTTTGTGTCGTGCTGCATGTCTGTTTGTGTCGTGCTGCATGTCTGTTTGTGTCGTGCTGTATGTCTGTTTGTGTCGTGCTGCATGTCTGTTTGTGTCGTGCTGCATGTCTGTTTGTGTCGTGCTGCATGTCTGTTTGTGTCGTGCTGCATGTCTGTTTGTGTCGTGCTGCATGTCTGTTTGTGTCGTGCTGCATGTCTGTTTGTGTCGTGCTGCACGTTCGTTTGTGTCGTGCTGCACGTTCGTTTGTGTCGTGCTGCATGTCTGTTTGTGTCGTGCTGCACGTTCGTTTGTGTCGTGCTGCATGTCTGTTTGTGTCGTGCTGCATGTCTAGGCATGCAGTTGCTTGCTGCTGTAGTTGCTGGTACGATGAAGTGCTCTGCATGCCTCGCATGCTTATTCATGCCTCACCTCACTCATTCCTGCCTCACTCCTGCCGCACTCATGCCTCACTCCTGCCTCACTCATGCCTCACTCACACACAGGATCCTCCGTAGCAACGCTCTTACGGGCATCACCCCCCCTGGGCCCATCAGAGCGCCATTCATCGAGATCCTGTCAGTGTCCTCTAGCCTCCACTCAAGAATCAAATCAGATCATGTCATACAATGAGCCATCCCATTCCGTCTTCCCCACGTATTCTTTACCACGTGGTGGTAGTATTTGGACGGACGTGTGACGACGAGGTGACTTTTGAGTCGACTCAAAAAGTCACCTCGTTACAATTGCAATCTTCCCCACGTATTCCTCACCACGTGGTGGTAGTAGATTTCTTTTGGGCGGACGTGTGACGTCCCTGTACCCATGCTGACCCCCCTGCTTGCTTCTTCCCAACTCTCCCCTTCCCACACCCCCTTCCCCAAGCTCCCCGACCCCTCGTCATCTCAACCCTCCCTTCTCTCCTCCTTGCGCCGTGATCGCCCTTAGAAGATGCAAGTGTGTGTGTTTGTGTGCATGCTGCGTGCATGGCCGTGGTATCATGGCATGGCTCCATTCTGTGCTGTCGCTCGCAGTGACCTGGGCTACAACAGGCTGGCTGCCATGCCAGACTCACTCTTCTCCCTCACCACCCTCCAGCAACTGTCAGTCAATCCACCAACCACCACTGCACGCACCCACGTCATCCTGCTCATTTTCTAGTCAAATACAAGAGATCGGCATACTTGTCATTTTGCTGAGCTGCATGTGTGCACGCAGCAAGGCCGTCCATGCATGTATGTAGCCCACGAGGCATCTGGTGACAGCATGCTTGTGTTGCCTTTCAGCCATCCAGGATTGCGCATTGCTTCGTGTATCCGGCGCCACTTGCCGAGTGAATGATGCGCTGTGCTCTTGCCTGCACGCTCGCCTGTGCTCTCATCTGTCCCTCGCCTGTGCTCTCATCTGTGCCATTGCCTTCGCTCTGGTCTCACATGTATGCATCTGTGCAGGTACTTGAATGGCAACATACACCAGGCACTTTCCCAAGGACTTTTGAGGCACTTCAAAAGCCGTCTCTCACCTGTCTTGCTGCATGTGCTGGTGCCTCTGCTGTGCTCTTACATGCATGCATGTGTGCAGGTACTTGAATGGCAACGTCATACCAGGCACTATCCCAATGATGTTCTCCGTTCTTGTCAATCTTGACACCCTGTAAGCCTTCCTTCCATGCACGATGCACTCATAATGCATGCTGTGCTGTGCTGTGCTGAGCTGTGCTGAGCTGTGCTGTGCTGTGCTGAGCTGTGCTGTGCTGCGCTGTGCTGTGCTGTGCTGCGCTGTGCTGGGCTGCGCTGCGCTGTGCTGTGCTGCGCTGCGCTGCGCTGTGCTGTGCTGTGCTGTGCTGTGCTGTGCTGTGCTGTGCTGTGCTGTGCTGTGCTGTGCTGTGCTGTGCTGTGCTGTGCTGTGCTGTGCTGTGCTGCATGACCCAGCTTGACAGTTCATGACCTGAACGTAAGGGCGAACCTGGTTCGGCCCAGGGCGATCTGGTTCGATTTCGGTGGGGGCCGGGCCTGGCCTTGAATTTCGCTTAGGCGGTCCGGGACGCCGAATCCCGTTCGTCCCGGCAAACCGACAATCTTTTGGTCGAGCGGTAAAAATCTGAACGGGGCCGGTAGTCCTCGCGCCGCCGCCCGACGCGAACCATTTGCAGCCCGGTTATGGCCGTCGCACAATTTCTGCAAGGGGCCCTCGTGCTCGTGCCGGTCTCATGTTCTAACCTTCCGTTCTACGGACCCGATAAACCGACTCCAATCCACAGCAAACCAGCCAGATTGAACCAGCCTCGCGTACTGGCTGGGTGGCTGCGTTGCTGAGTTGTTATCCCCTCCCCTCTGCCTTGCTCCCATTCGGATCATATAATGCATCGTCTCAGGTGGCTCAACAACAATCAGCTGTCAGGGGCCATCCCCCCACTTGTCGTTGCCATGCCCTGGCTTCGGATGCTGTGAGTGTGTCACATAGGCTAGCACCCTGATCTGACGAGAGAGGCCCCCCTCCTTGCGCCCTGCGCAGGAACCTGCCAAGGAACCTGCGGACGGAGAGAAAATCGCAATACTCTCTTCTTCTTACTTGCACAAATCTCCTCCCCAAAACTGCTGCATTTCAGTGGCTGTGTTCAATAATACCCTTGCTTTGCACGTCACCTTACCTGGGCAAGCAATTGAGAAACGCCACAACTCTCCCTCCCGATGCCGCGCGTTCTCTGTGTGTGCACGCTGCGCTGCACTATTCTGCGCTCCGCTGCGCAGGAACCTGGGTAGGAACCTGCTGAAGGGGGAGATCGAGAGCAGTGTGTTTCAGAGCTCAGACAGGGTGATCTTCGCCCGCCCTTCAGCATCCCGAGCGGCAACGGCTGCTGTGGCTGGTCCCCCAGCCGTTGGTGGTCCACTGCAGCTGGAGAGCCTGTGAGTGAGCTGATGGGCCAACAGGCAGGTGGAAAGACGGCGTGCCACTACTGACAACACTGCGTGTGCATGTGTGTGTGTGTGTGTCTGTGTGAGTGTGTGTGAGTGTCTTTGTGTTTGTCTGTCTGTCTGTCTGTGTCTATCTGTGTCTGTGTGTGTCTCTCTCTCCCCTCCCGCACTCTCCTTCTCTCCACCTTCACTCTCCTTCTCTCCTCCTTCACTCTCCATCCTCACTCTCCTTCCCTCCTCCCACTCTCACCCTCCTCTCCAATCACCCCGACTCTCCACTACCCCAGCACCTATAGTAGAGCACATGATGGCATGCTGCGTTGTTGGTTCTCACTGTTGATACTCCTATGGGGACGTCCCAGAAATAGACGCTTCTAACGCTTGCTCAATCTCCCTCTGTCAGTGTCAGCATCAACTGTCAATGTCTGTCAGTACCAGAATCATTTTCAGAGCCAACGTCAGCTTCACTGTGAATGGATAATTTCTGATTTGTTATTCCTTTCCCTTTTACCAAAACCAAGTTTTTTCCGTCTCTGTCCACAACGTCAAACAATCAATCAATCAATCAATCAACCAATGCCATGTGCCTTTGTCAGGTGCCTGAGCGACAACTTCCTGAGCGGCTCCCTTCCCGATTCACTCATGACTCTCAAACGCCTCAAAGACCTGTATGCTCATTGCTGCACACACGCACACACGCACGCACGCACGCATGCACACACGCACACGCACACACGCACGCACGCATGCACACACGCACGCACGCACCACGTGCATTGCACGGCGCAGATCGAGTGGATGCACTTCATGTGCTGCTTTTCATCCAAACATCACATATCACGTTTCCTTCTGTGTCGCACATGCTACACATTAAGCGCTTTCATTCCACGCCGGTTGACACTGTGGCATCACATCACATCACATAACATCACATCACATCACATCACATAACATCACATCACATCACATCACATCACATCCCATCGCATCACATCACATCACATCCCATCGCATCACATCACACATGATGTATGAGCCTGCTGCTCTTCATCCAACCCACCATTCACTGCACTCCCCTCCAACTTTCCACTGCTGCTCGCAGCAGTCTGCCGCTTCTGTAGCTCCCCTCCCTCCCAAACACTCACCCCTCCCCCGCTTTCGCTGTGCCCTTTCCTTGCTGATTAAACAGTCAGCTTCAGAACAACCAATTAAATGGGTCCATTCCCATTGTTGCCCCGTTAACCGTCCTCACGAATCTGTACGTCTCCTCATGGACGAATGCATGCATGCACCCGTGCTGACTCCTGCTTTTCCCAAGCACCTTGTGAGGCATGCCTCTCTCATTGCCTCTCGCTGCCTCATGTTTCTTGCTAGCTGTCACCCTTGTCTCAATTTTGAATCGTTTCCCCTCCTGCCCACAGCTCCCCACCTCCCCAGTCATCTTCTTTTGTGTTTGTGTTCCCCCTCTTCTCTCGCCTGTCTCCTCCCCCGCATGTGCGGTCTCGCTGTGCTGCTCCGCACTGCTGTGCCATGCCATGGCATGCCATGCCATGTTGTGCCGTGCCGTGCTGTGCCATGCCATGCCATGTTATGCCATACCGTGCCATACCGTGCGGTGCCGTCTCTTCCCTGCTCGCCCATCCTCACAGTCGTCTAGCAGACAACAACTTCACAGGCACCATTCCACAAACCATTGGCGGCCTCCTGCTGCTCGAGCACCTGTAAGTAACTGTTGCTGCTCGAGCACCTGTAAGTAACTGTTGCTGCTCGAGCACCTGTAAGTAACTGTTGCTGCTCGAGCACCTGTAAGTAACTGTTCCTGCTCGAGCACCTGTAAGTAACTGTTGCTGCTCGAGCACCTGTAAGTAACTGTTGCTGCTCGAGCACCTGTAAGTAACTGTTGCTGCTCGAGCACCTGTAAGTAACTGTTGCTGCTCGAGCACCTGTAAGTAACTGTTGCCGCTCGAGCACCTGTAAGTACCTGTTGCTGCTCGAGCACCTGTAAGTAACTGTTGCTGCTCGAGCACCTGTAAGTAACTGTTGCTGCTCGAGCACCTGTAAGTAACTGTTGCTGCTCGAGCACCTGTAAGTAACTGTTGCTGCTCGAGCACCTGTAAGTAACCATTGCTGCTTGTTGCTTCCCCACCCCCCTCCCCTTTTCAAGTCCTCGTCTCTCCTTCCCTTCCCTCCGTCCCTCGGTCTTCACCCATCCATGCCCTATCCATTTCTTTCCCCAACACCTCAATCTGTAGCCCACCTCCCGCCTCACCCATCCATCTGCAATTTCTCTGTTCCCATCCGATTGCCCCTAGCATTTTCATTACCTCCTCGTCAATCTGACACCATCAACTTCGTCCTAGCAATTTTCTCCTCTCCTCTCCTCTTCCCTCCTCTCCTCTCCTCTCCTCTCCTCTCCTCTCCTCTCCTCTCCTCTCCTCTCCTCTCCTCTCCTCTCCTCTCCTCTCCTCTCCTCTCCTCTCCTTTCCTCTCCTCTCCTCTCCTCTTCTCTCCTCTCTTCTCATCTCCTCTCCTTCTCTTACCCTCACCTCCTTTAATGCACTCACTAATTCGTTCTTCCCATTCTCTCTCGTCCCTATTTCCCTCTCTCTCCACCCTCTCCGTCCCTCCTTCCCTTACTTTCAACTGCCGCCGCTGCCGCCGCCATCGCTGCTGCTACTACTGCTGCTGCGTGTCAGGGACCTGAGTGGCAACCGCCTCAGCGGAGAGATTCCCGAAACCTTCACAGGCCTTGTCAAGCTCACAGTCATGTATGCCATCCCATCCCGTCCTCTCGTACTCGCCCTGCGCTTCTAATACCTGTCCTCTACCGCACTCCGTCTGCACTGCATGGTGCACTTCCTCCCCTTCTGCACCCTACAGAGTCGTGCTTGACTTTCTCCCACTCCCTCTTCTGCCTTGCTTCCTTCCTCTCATAGCCACCCATTATTCAGCCTGCAACTCACATCCCCTCACTTCCCCTCATCCCCGTAGTAATCCCCCCCTGCTCTATAATACCCTTCCTCTTTGATCCCCCATTTCTCTAATCCCCCTTTTCTTCTATTTTCCGTTTCTCCCCAATCCCCAACCCTCCACCGTGCTGCCAGCAACCTGCGGGACAACCAGCTCACAGGCCCTCTGCCCAACCCGCCACCCAACATCGTGCAGTACCAGCTCGACAAGAACTTCTTCACTCAGGGCTTCTCCTCCCCGCCCAACTGTGCCGTTGTCTCCGTCCGCGGCAACTGCGTCAGCCAGACCGATCCTGGGCTCACCTGCCCGGGAGACAAGCAGAGGCATCCAGAGGTCTGCTCGTCCTTCTGCGGCCTCTCTGCCTCAGACCCTCCTTGCAACGGCCACGGAGAATGCCTCCTGGAGGGCCCGAACAAGGTTCCGGTGTGCCAGTGCTACGAGGGGTTTCAGATCGGGGAGTACAGGGGCAGCTGCGTGCCTGTGGTGGGTGGGTCGGCGCTCATATCACTCCAGCCTGTGGAGGTGCCGGCTGCGCTGACTGCGACTGGGAGTGCGAGCGTGGATGGGGTGGCAAAGTCCTTCACTCTCACGCCCCTGCAGGCGGGCACGACTGGAGCAGTGTTCCTGTCGGAAAAGGTGCCGCTCTTCTCCTACCAGCTCATTGCTGACGGGTGCGGCCGCGAGCTCGCCTTCTCCTCCTCCTTCTCCTTCACTCTCACTCGTTCTGCCGCGGCCGGCGGCTCTGAAGGGTTTGCCTTTGTGGTGGCCTTTGATGCCACGGCCCCAGCAGAGGTCGTGGCAGGCGGCATGGGGTACGCGGGAATGGCCGCTCGCAGCGTGGCAGTGGAGTTTGACACGTGGCAGGATGGGGGAGCCAGCGGCAGTGGCGGCAGCAGCGGGACCAGCAGAAGCAGAAACAACAGCGGCGGCGGCGCCGGTGGCGGCGGCAGCGGCGGCGAACCCGGTGGGAACCACGTCAGAGTGAACGTGCACGGCAGCGCGTTGTCTGTTGCCACAGCTGCTGCCCCCACACCGCTCAATGACGGCACTCCAAAGTACGCCTGGATCGAATACGACCCCTCCATTCCTGCTGACGCCGCTGCTCCTGCAGCTACTGCTGCTGCCGCCGCTGCTGCTGCTGCTGCTGGTTCCCTGCGCCTCTTCCTCTCCTCCAGCCGCTCCCCGCGCCCGTCCAAGCCGCTGCTGTCAGCGCGCGTGTCCCTGTGTGACGTTCTCCAGCCCACGCGCCTGGCGAGCACGTTTGCGGTGGGCTTCACTGCAGCATCGGGCAGCCAGGCGCAGAGGCACGCCGTCTCGTCGTGGAACTTCACCACACGTGAGTGTGGGTGTGTCAAATGGTCAGTGGCATGCATTTTTTACTCCCTCATGCTGCCTACCCTGTACAGAAAGCTCATGCTGCTTCCCTCCCTTCCTTCTCCATCTTTCTCCATCCGTCCTTTATCCTGCTCCGTCTGTTCTAGAAAATTGTAGCTTAAGCTGCTCTCTGTTGCTGCTACTTTGGTGTCCGTCACTTTCTGTGCGCTTTTTTTCCTAGTCAATCCCGTCCGCCCACCCCCTCCCCTCCCCTCCCCTCCCCTCCCCTCCCCTCCCCTCCCCTCCCTTTTCCTCTCCTCCCCTCCCTCCTCCCTCCTACACCTTGCAGGCTTTCCACAATCACCCACTAAGCGTGGTGGTAAGTACTAAGTATCCTTTCCGGCATGCACACTCGCACATGCATCCGTCCTTGCCTTAGCAAAACCAATAGCATCTGTGTTGCTCACTCTCTCCCACTTTCAAAATTTTCCTTCATCGTAATGCCACGGGCCTACTGAAATAAGGCTGTGGGGTAATCTCTGTCTCTCTCTTTCTCTTGCAACCCCTCTTGCTTCTGCCCTCTCCTTCCATCACTCAAGTCACAAGGTCTCAGCATCCACTTTCCCTCACCGAAAATCCCTTCCTCACATCACATCACAGCGGCGCCACTAGGCCTGCGGGTGAGCGAGGCGGCCATCAGCCCGGCAGCGTCGGGCATGAACCCCTTCTTCCGCTACGCCAGCTCCGGCATCCTGCCGCCGCCGCAGGAGGGCAACGACCACAGGAACCAATACGAAGTGCGCGTCACATCCACGTGGCTCCTCCAGGACATCTTCTGGCCCGTCAAGACGCAGACTGCCTGCGGTGCGTGCGCCCACATCAAACGCGGGTCTTTGAGGGCAAATGCTTAAGCCTACGGGGATTTCAGTTTTGGAAACCCCCAGACACGTTCCTTTTTTCATTTTTTCATTTTTTTCTTCTTCTTTTCCTTTCTCGCCCTCCATTCTCTCCACTTACCTCTCTCAAACGCTGATCTCATTTGCCTCTTCTTGGCCTGCATGTGCCCATCTCTCCCTCTCTCCTCTCACCCCATTTTCTGTCCCTCTCTCCTCTCACACCACCTTCTTGTCGAGTGAAAAGTTGACTAGGGTAAGGTCGAGGGTACAAACATAGGAGTCATATCCTCTCTAAGTAATAACATAGTCTAGCCTATAAATTGATATATATAACATGTGTACAAATATATAGTTTGACACACCCCCTAGGCTAGACAAGGGGGTGCTCTCTGAGTAACAACAAGCAAACTCAAGGCGGCACTACTAGTCCAACCTCTGCGACGAACAAGGCCACATGGCCAGTCCATGTGTTTGCACAGATGTATATAAGATACAGCAAGCAACAATGGCCAAGACACAAGCAAGTGAGGATCACAAGTCACTAGTCCGAGTGAGGACCATAACTGTTGATGGTCGCACGGCGGAAGTGCCTTGGTTCTGATGTCACTGTAACCACGCGTGCCTGGCCACGCTGGTGCAACTCACGCAAGAAAAAGTACCGCAGCTCAACGTGCTTCGTATGCCCCACCAATCAAGGTCGTGACACAACAGGATCATGGCCCTAGTGTCAGCGAAGAACACTGCGGAGTACGAGGTGGCTCAACTAGGTCGGTGAGCAGAAAGGTGAGTCAACGCAACTCGTGTGCAGCCGTGGCACCGGCGTAGAGCTCAACCTCACAGCTAGAGAGAGCTGATCTGACGACGCACGATTAGACTCCAAAACACAGCTCTGATACCATGTCGAGTGAAAAGTTCATTAGGTAAGGTCGATGGTACAAACATACAAGTCATATCTTCCCTAAAAATTACATAGTCTAGCTTTTAACTACATATACAAAACATACATATGGTTTGACACTTCTCTCCCTCTCTCCTCTCACTCCACCTTTTCCCCTTCCCTCTCTCCTCCTCTGCATATTCTGTCTCCCCCAGGCGACTGCTGGGCGTATGCGGTGGTGGGCAGCATAGAGGCGGCCTACAGCATAATGGCGAACCTCTCGGTGGCGCCGCAGCTGTCAGCGCTGCAGCTGCGCTCCTCCATGCGCGCCGACTGCCAGGGCGGCTCGCCCTCCCAGGCCTTCGCCTTCCTCCTCAAAGCCGCCCGCAGCAAGGCAGTGGTCCGGGGGAGGAATGTCACTGTGAATCAACAGGAGAGGCGACTTCTTTGGAGGCATCTCAACGACGGTGGGGGCCACAGCAAGGCGTTGGTTTGGAGGGGGGCAACTGCGAACACGAAGCAGGAGAGGAGTCGGCTTTGCATGGCTCCGTTTGTTTCACTCCTTTAACTGCTTGGGATCACCTGCGATGGGAAGGGTGCCACTAAGGTATGCCTGCCTGGTCATGTGGTTTCTCCTGATATCCTGATACTCCTGATATCCTGATACTCCTGATATCCTGATACTCCTGATATCCTGATACTCCTGATATCCTGATACTCCTGATATCCTGATACTCCTGATATCCTGATACTCCTGATATCCTGATACTCCTGATATCCTGATACTCCTGATATCCTGATACTCCTGATATCCTGATACTCCTGATATCCTGATACTCCTGATTCCTGATACTCCTGATATCCTGATACTCCTGATATCCTGATACTCCTGATATCCTGATACTCCTGATATCCTGATACTCCTGATATCCTGATACTCCTGATATCCTGATACTCCTGATATCCTGATACTCCTGATATCCTGATACTCCTGATATCCTGATACTCTGATCCGATACTCCTGATATCCTGACTCCTGATATCCTGATACTCCTGATATCCTGATACTCCTGATATCCTGATACTCCTGATATCCTGATACTCCTGATATCCTGATACTCCTGATATCCTGATACTCCTGATATCCTGATACTCCTGATATCCTGAGACTCCTGATATCCTGATACTCCTGATATCCTGATACTCCTGATATCCTGATACTCCTGATATCCTGATACTTACCCTGATTCCTGATACTCCTGAATATCCTGATACTCCTGATATCCTGATACTCCTGATATCCTGATACTCCTGATATCCTGATACTCCTGATATCCTGATACTCCTGTATCATGATACTCCTGATATCCTGATACTCCTGATATCCTGATACTCCTGATATCCTGATAACTCCTGATATCCTGATACTCCTGATATCCTGATACTCCTGATATCCTGATACTCCTGATATCCTGATACTCCTGATATCCTGATACTCCTGATATCCTGATACTCCTGATATCCTGATACTCCTGATATCCTGATACTCCTGATATCCTGATACTCCTGATATCCTGATACTCCTGATATCCTGATACTCCTGATATCCTGATACTCCTGATATCCTGATACTCCTGATATCCTGATACTCCTGATATCCTGATACTCCTGATATCCTGATACTTCCTGATATCCTGATACTCACTGATATCCTGATACTCCTGATATCCTGATACTCCTGATATCCTGATACTCCTGATATCCTGATACTCCTGATATCCTGATACTCCTGATATCCTGATACTCCTGATCATCCTGATACTCCTGATACTGATACTCTGATATCCTGATACTCCTGATATCCTGATACTCCTGATACTCCTGATATCCTGATACTCCTGATATCCTGATACTCCTGATATCCTGATACTCCTGATATCCTGATACTCCTGATATCCTATACTCCTGATATCCTGATACTCCTGATATCCTGATACTCCTGATATCCTGATACTCCTGATATCCTGAACTCCTGATATCCTGATACTCTGATATCCTGATACTCCTGATATCCTGATACTCCTGATATCCTGATACTCCTGATATCCTGATACTCCTGATATCCTGATATCCTGATATCCTGATACTCTGATATCCTGATACTCCTGATATCCTGATACTCCTGATATCCTGATACTCCTGATATCCTGATACTCCTGATATCCTGATACTCCTGATATCCTGATACTCCTGATATCCTGATACTCCTGATATCCTGATACTCCTTCCTGATTACTCCTGATATCCTGATACTCGCCGGTATCCTGATACTCCTGATATCCTGATACTCCTGATATCCTGATACTCCTGATATCCTGATACTCCTGATATCCTGATACTCCTGATATCCTGATACTCCTGATATCCTGATACTCCTGATATCCTGATACTCCTGATATCCTGATACTCCTGATATCCTGATACTCCTGATATCCTGATACTCCTGATATCCTGATACTCCTGATATCCTGATACTCCTGATATCCTGATACTCCTGATATCCTGATACTCCTGATATCCTGATACTCCTGATATCCTGATACTCCTGATATCCTGATACTCCTGATATCCTGATACTCCTGATATCCTGATACTCCTGATATCCTGATACTCCTGATATCCTGATACTCCTGATATCCTGATACTCCTGATATCCTGATACTCCTGATATCCTGATACTCCTGATATCCTGATACTCCTGATATCCTGATACTCCTGATATCCTGATACTCCTGATATCCTGATACTCCTGATATCCTGATACTCCTGATATCCTGATACTCCTGATATCCTGATACTCCTGATATCCTGATACTCCTGATATCCTGATACTCCTGATATCCTGATACTCCTGATATCCTGATACTCCTGATATCCTGATACTCCTGATATCCTGATACTCCTGATATCCTGATACTCCTGATATCCTGATACTCCTGATATCCTGATACTCCTGATATCCTGATACTCCTGATATCCTGATACTCCTGATATCCTGATACTCCTGATATCCTGATACTCCTGATATCCTGATACTCCTGATATCCTGATACTCCCTGATATCCTGATACTCCTGATATCCTGATACTCCTGATATCCTGATACTCCTGATATCCTGATACTCTGAGTATCCTGATACTCCTGATATCTGATACTCTGATATCCTGATACTCCTGATATCCTGATACTCCTGATATCCTGATACTCCTGATATCCTGATACTCCTGATATCCTGATACTCCTGATATCCTGATACTCCTGATATCCTGATACTCCTGATATCCTGATACTCCTGATATCCTGATACTCCGTGATATCCTGATACTCCTGATATCCTGATACTCCTTATATCCTGATACTCCTGATATCCTGATACTCCTGATATCCTGATACTCCTGATATCCTGATACTCCTGATATCCTGATACTCCTGATATCCTGATACTCCTGATATCCTGATACTCCTGATATCCTGATACTCCTGATATCCTGATACTCCTGATATCCTGATACTCCTGATATCCTGATACTCCTGATATCCTGATACTCCTGATATCCTGATACTCCTGATATCCTGATACTCCTGATATCCTGATACTCCTGATATCCTGATACTCCTGATATCCTGATACTCCTGATATCCTGATACTCCTGATATCCTGATACTCCTGATATCCTGATACTCCTGATATCCTGATACTCCTGATATCCTGATACTCCTGATATCCTGATACTCCTGATATCCTGATACTCCTGATATCCTGATACTCCTGATATCCTGATACTCCTGATATCCTGATACTCCTGATATCCTGATACTCCTGATATCCTGATACTCCTGATATCCTGATACTCCTGATATCCTGATACTCCTGATATCCTGATACTCCTGATATCCTGATACTCCTGATATCCTGATACTCCTGATATCCTGATACTCCTGATATCCTGATACTCCTGATATCCTGATACTCCTGATATCCTGATTACTCCTGATATCCTGATACTCCTGATATCCTGATACTCCTGATATCCTGATACTCCTGATATCCTGATACTCCTGATATCCTGATACTCTGATATCCTGATACTCCTGATATCCTGATACTCCTGATATCCTGATACTCCTGATATCCTGATACTCCTGATATCCTGATCTCCTGATATCCTGATACTCCTGATATCCTGATACTCCTGATATCCTGATACTCCTGATATCCTGATACTCCTGATATCCTGATACTCCTGATATCCTGATACTCCTGATATCCTGATACTCCTGATATCCTGATACTCCTGATATCCTGATACTCCTGATATCCTGATACGCTGATATCCTGATACTCCTGATATCCTGATACTCCTGATATCCTGATACTCTGAGATCCTGATACTCCTGATTACCTGATACTCCTGATATCACTGGTAACTACTCCTGATATCGCTGATTACTCCTGATATCCTGATACTCCTGATATCGCTGATACTCCTGATATCCTGATACTCCTGATATCCTGATACTCCTGATATCCTGATACTCCTGATATCCTGATACTCCTGATATCCTGATACTCCTGATATCCTGATACTCCTGATATCCTGATACTCCTGATATCCTGATACTCCTGATATCCTGATACTCCTGATATCCTGATACTCCTGATATCCTGATACTCCTGATATCCTGATACTCCTGATATCCTGATACTCCTGATATCCTGATACTCCTGATATCCTGATACTCCTGATATCCTGATACTCCTGATATCCTGATACTCCTGATATCCTGATACTCCTGATATCCTGATACTCCTGATATCCTGATACTCCTGATATCCTGATACTCCTGATATCCTGATACTCCTGATATCCTGATACTCCTGATATCCTGATACTCCTGATATCCTGATACTCCTGATATCCTGATACTCCTGATATCCTGATACTCCTGATATCCTGATACTCCTGATATCCTGATATCCTGATATCCTGATACTCCTGATATCCTGATACTCCTGATATCCTGATATCCTGATATCCTGATATCCTGATATCCTGATATCCTGATATCCTGATATCCTGATATCCTGATATCCTGATATCCTGATATCCTGATACTCCTGATATCCTGATACTCCTGATATCCTGATATCCTGATATCCTGATACTCCTGATATCCTGATATCCTGATATCCTGATATCCTGATATCCTGATATCCTGATATCCTGATATCCTGATATCCTGATACTCCTGATATCCTGATACTCCTGATATCCTGATATCCTGATATCCTGATATCCTGATATCCTGATATCCTGATATCCTGATATCCTGATATCCTGATATCCTGATATCCTGATACTCCTGATATCCTGATACTCCTGATATCCTGATATCCTGATATCCTGATACTCCTGATATCCTGATATCCTGATATCCTGATATCCTGATATCCTGATACTCCTGATATTCTGATATCCTGATATCCTGATACTCCTGATATCCTGA